GGCTCCTCTCTGGAGCTGCACCGGCTCCTCTCTGGAGCTGCACTGGCTCCTCTCCGGAGCTGAGCAGAGCTCCTCTCTGGATCTGCTCTGAGCCACTTGGGTGCATGTGCTGGAGCAATCCAGCTGTGGAAATGAGGATCCCACAGCCAAGAGCCTCTTGTTGGGAGAACATCAAGTTATTGTGATAGGTGGTGACTGAAACCACATTATTGACTGGTTTTTTTTTTTTTTTTTATTTCAAGCTGTGCTTTGGTTGAGTTAATCTTATGTTGAAGAGCAAGTCTGATGTGTGTCTGAAACCTTCCTTACAACTGAATTGTCTAAAAATGTCATCTCTAATACTCAAAAAAGTCCTTGAAAGATGTTGAACCAGAATTATGTAACTAGTGGGGAACTGAAGTGTACTGATATGGAAAGTATTAAGCTGAGAGAGAAATGGTGCTTTGGAAAAAGAAAATCCCACCTTAGGYGTGTCTGGTTTTCCCATGGATTACGTTCACCTCATGTAGTTCTGATCTTGTAACCCCCTTACAAAAGCAGCCCTGGAAAACTCCTTTTCATTCCATTTTGGGGAATGTAATCAGCTGTYGGCTGTGTTGTGTTAGGACTTCCTGCTTCCTATTTGTGTTGCCAGTTTTGGCTTTCACCTGACGTGTGGAATTGCTTGGGAATGTGTTTTTGTGGAGGAGAGTGGTCAGCAGGGATGGGGATGATGGCAATGAGCATCCAATGCTCTCTGCTTTGTGTGGGGAATATTTTGGTTGGCTTTGGCAGCTCTTCCACCTGGTGGACCCATGGGRCTGTAAGGAGCCCCGTCTGAGACTCTGCAGAGCAGAGAGCTCCTCCAAGGCTTTCTGCCCCATTTTTATTCATCCTTTCTTTTTCCCATTCCAATTTATGCAGCTGCTTTGTTGCAGATGTTGTAGCTTGGGGGAACTTTGGTCTCACAGTCAGAGCACAAGAGGTTTGAAAAAACCAATCTCTGTGAAAAAGTCTCTTCAAAAATCTCCCCATTGTGAGAGGACTGTGGGCTCCAGCAGCGCTTGGGTGATAGAATGAGCTCATAAGTGCACAGTTATTTTCCTGCTCTGGAAATAACAGGAATTTTGTGCCTTTCCAGCACAAGAAGCTACTTCTCTCCCACTTTACTTKGATTTTTTTTTGGCACGTGCTTAAAGCTTCACCTTAATGTCCATGAAAAATATATTTCTGTGTCTGCTTTCACACAACCCTGGGTGTCATAAAAGCTGCTTTCTGGTGCTTGATAAGGCAACTTTATTTAAATATCAAGGTGCAAATCAGTCAGAATTTGGACCTTGACCTTTCTAGGAGAAGTTTAGAGGGTGAATTCTGCTTTAGAGGAAGGAATTMATGGGATCCCAGAATGGGTTGGGTTGGGAGGGACCTTAAAGGTCACCTCATTCCTCTCCCTACCATGGGCAGGGACATCTTCCACAAGGCCAGGCTGCTCCAAGCTCTGTCCACCCTGGCCTTGGACATGAATTCTGCAGGACTGCTTTTGGAATAAGCCAAGTGCCAACATTATTGGCATGTTGCCTTCTAAAATAACCTGCTGGTTGATTACTCTGAAGTTTCTGCTGTGCACTTAAATCTGTAAAATGTAACTTGGACACCTTGTGCCAGCTCTGACCCATGCAGGGATCATGACCAGGTGGTCCCCAGAAACTGTTTTAATCCCAATCCTGGCCTTCAGACATCTGTCTTACAGAATTTGTGGTGAATGCTAAGAAATCTGTGGTGGATGTGCAGAATGGTCTTACGGAAAAACAACTGGAGGCAGACGATACTGGAGAAATTATAACAAGGTTCTTAGTTATGTCAGTGGTAAAACAAAGAAAGGAAGATTCTGTGTGGATGTAGGACCCCAATATTGGTGCTGATTGTTCCATTGCCCAAGTGGAAGGTAARGGGTCAGTGGGCTGAGCTCTTACAGTGAGGTCCCAAAATAGAAGTTCAAAAGCATTTAACAGAAAAGCTTTATAATTTTTTTTTTTCTGGGCAAATAGTATTACAAACCCTTTTAAATCTGAATTTGTTTGAATATGTAATGAAAGACCCACAGTTCTATAACGAATGAGGGGGAGGAAATTTAAATTTTATCCTCTGCAGAGGAAAGACAGGGAACTCCTGAGGGTAGTCTCAGCAGTGGTGAAATGAGCTGAGGGATAAAACTCAGGTGGGATAGAGGCAGGAAGAARGCAGGGATGGTAATCAGGGTACTGGCAGATTGAAATCTGTGTTTTTGTGGGATTGGGGTTTTTTTAATGCTAAATGTAAGTGCTTTATACTACTTAATACCTTACTATTTTTGTTTATATGAAAGCTTTAGGCTGAAATAATGAGTTTTAACCTGATTTTCTTCTCATTCTCACTTCTGTGTTGTTTTCTGGTGGAGTAGGGAGAGAGGCCTGTTGTAAGATAAATAATCCAATTTTTCCTGCTAGATTGGCTGTTAGGGAAAATAGGAAATCCTTGTGTTAGGGAGAATGGGAAATCCTTGGCACATATTCAAGTACTTGATGAACCATCTATTTATTCAGATTCTTAATTTCTCCATTTTCCTTAAAGGAAGCGTGAAGGACAGTTACTTCCTAAATAAATTTTCAAGTGTGGTCTGCATTAAGTGGATTTTTAGGGGAAATAATAATTAAGTTTAAAAAAAGGAAGCTTTAAAATAGAGTTACTTGGTGAGATAAAATCAGAATTCTTCAATTCATAAGAGAAATGTTTATCAAAACAACGCCTGTGTTTGAACTGTCAGATTGTGAAGCAGAGATGCTTCACCCTGTGTCTCATTTTTTGGGGTCCTTAGAACTCCCAGATCTGTTGAATTGCAGCCCCATTCCCGTTTTCCATCAGAAAATGAAAGAGGAGGAGAATGTCCGTGCTGGCAGCGTTTCTGGCTGCGGGGTGAGAAGTTGTTGAGCCAGGGAAGGTGACACGGGGCAAATATTCGTGTGCCAGCGTTGTGCTCCAAGTCCTGGCTCCTTGTGCCTGGCTGGTGATGGCTTCCACTCCGCTGATTCCATGGATTTTGGAACATCAGCAGCAGCTTTGCAGTGCTGTTTACTATTTCATTAAACCAGACCATAATTAAGTCGGATTTTCGTGTAAGCTGTTGTTTTAATTGAGGCTAATTTTCAATTGTATTTAAGGCCCCTGTTTTGTTTCGTTGTTCTCGGTACAATTTGCTTTACCTGCCCCAAATGGGAGCTGCTGAAGCTGCTGAAGCACCTGGTTGGCACCTTCCCCTTCCCATTTCGTCGCCCCCACTGCAGGCAGGCAGCAGTAAATGGATTAGCCCGTCGGTGTGGAATCAGGGATGAAGAATCAGCCTCTCCTGGAGCTTGTTGGACTTCAAGCRTGAAGCTCTAAAGTGTTTGTGATAGCTCACGCAGTTCCCCTCTCCCTAGCAGGGCTGATTAATATGCTGATAAGATGCTGTGATTCATGAACCTGCGCTGGGCTGACTCCGTGTTATTCCTGAATAATAAATGGTGATAAAATCCAAGAGTCCAAAGATGCGAAGCAGCTTGGGAAATCTCCAGGGGTTTGTGCCACTTTGCTCCAGAGCGCGGCGTTTCTCAGGGATCTGGGAGATGCTCATGGAATCCTGGAATGTTTCTGGATGGGACCTTGAGGAACATCTCATTCCATGGGAGGGACACCTTCCACTGTYCCAGRSTGCTCCAARCCCCARTGTCCAGCCTGGCCTTGTGCACTGCCAGGGATCCAGGGGCAGCCACAGCTKCTCTGGGCACCCTGTGCCAGGGCCYCMCCACCCTCAYAGGGAACAATTCCTKCCCAATATCCCATCTGGCAGCRGGAAGCCATTCCCTGTGTCCTGTCCCTCCATCCCTTGTCCCCAGTCCCTCTCCAGCTCTCCTGGAGCCCCTCTGGGCACTGCCAGGGGCTCTGAGCTCTCCCAGGATCCTTCCCTTCTCCAGGTGAGCACCCCCAGCTCTCCCAGCCTGGCTCCAGAGCAGAGGACTTTCCCTGCATGGGACCCCTGCACACTCATGAAGAGCAGGMCATGTCCCTGAGCCAGGCTGGGGCAGCACTCTCAAGTTGAAAATTCCCAGGTTTTGTCATTTTTTCTTCCCCAAGGTGAAGCCACAGCATTTGTTTGGCCATAATGGTGAGCAGAGGGAACCTGCGCCCTCCGGCCGAACAGAACAGGAGGGGAAGGATTCTCACGTGTG